TATGTCTATGAGATCAAGTTGATTGATTGTAGCATATAGCTCTTCCATGTCTTTGTTGAGCTTCTCTCTGGATGTTCTGTCCTTCACCGAAAGTGGTATGTTGAAGTCTCCTACTACTATTGTGGAGCTGTCTATCTCTCTTTTCAGTGCTGTTAGAGTTTTTTTAATGTATTTTGGAGCCCTGTCGTTGGGTGCGTAAATATTTATTATAGTTATGTCCTCCTGGTGTATTGACTCTTTAATCATTATGTAGTATCCTTCCTTATCCTTTGTGGTGGATTTTACTTTAAAGTCTATTTTGTCAGAGATTAATATTGCCAGTCCTGTTCTTTTTTGAGTGTTCTTTGCTTGATACATTTTTTTTCCATCCTATGAGTTTTAGTTTGTGTCTTTAAGTCTAAGGTGTGTCTCTTGTAGGCAGCATATAGATGGATTGTGTTTTTTTAATCCAGTCTGCCACTCTGTGTGTCTTTATTGGTGCATTTAGTCCATTTACATTCAGCATAATTATTGATAGTTATGAGTTTGGTGCTTTCATTTTTATGTCTTTTTTTGTGTGTTGTTCACAGTTTCTTTGTTCTACTTAATTTTTTGTGCTGAGTCATTTTTTTAATGTATTTTCTTTTCATCTTTTTCATTGTTGTTGATTTTCTGTTTGCTGAGTCTTTATAGTTTTCTTGTTTTTTATTTTGACTTATAGGATTGTTAGTTTTCTTTATGGTTACCTTAATATTTACCCCTAGTTTTCTAAGTTTATACCAATCTTTTATTTCTTTATATCGCCTTAACTTCCTCACCTAATAAAAAATCTATGTCTACATTTTTTAAGTCCCTCTTTTTTGTTTTAATATTGTCATCTTTTACATATTGACATCTGTTTCCCTATTTTCAGTGTTGTAGCTTTGATTTACTTTTGTGATTTCCCTATCTGGGTTGATATCTGGTTGCTCTGTCCTGTGTTCTAGTCTTAGGTTGTTATCTGATGTTACTGATCTTCTAACTGGAGGACTCCCTTTAGTATTTCTTGTAATTTTGGTTTGGTTTTTGCAAATTCCTTAAACTTCTGTTTATCTGGAAATGCCCTAATTTCGCCATCATACTTGAGAGACAGTTTTCCTGGATATATAATTCTTGGCTAGCAGTTTTTTTCCTTCAAGGCTTTGTGTATATCATCCCATTGCCGTCTTGCCTTCATGGTTTCTGCTGAGTAGTCCGAGCTTATTCTTATTGACTCTCCTTTGTAGATGACTCTTCGTTTATCCCTGACCGCTCTTAAAATTCTCTCTTTATCTTTGGTTTTGGTAAGTTTGATTATAATATGTCTTGGTGACTTTCTTTTGGGATATACCTTATGTGGTCTTTGATGAGCATCTTGGATAGATATCTTGTCATCTTTCATGATATCAGGGAAGTTTTCTGCCGACAAATCTTCAACGTTTCTCTCTGTATTTTCTGTTATCCTCCCCTGTTCTGATACTCCAGTCACTTGTAGGTTATTCCTCTTGATAGAGTCCCACATAATTCTTAGGGTTTCTTCATTTTTTTTAATCCTTTTATCTGATTTTTCCTCTAATTGGTTGGTGTCAAGTACTTTATCTTCAATCTCACTAATTCTGACTTGCACTGCCTCAGTTTTGCTCCTGTAACTTTCTACTGAGTTGTCTAATTCTGAAATTTTATTGTTAATCTTCTAGATTTCTGATTGCTGTCTCTCTGTGGATTCTTGCAGCCTGTTAAATTTGTCACTATGGTCTTCTCTAATCTTTTCAGTTTCCTCTGTTGGATGTTCATCATGTTACTTAATTTCCTTCCTAATTTCTTGAAGAGTTCTGTATATTAATTAATCTTTTGTATTCTGCTTCTGGTAATTCCAAGAAATTTTCCTCCTCTGGAATATTTCTGTATTCTTGGGAACGTGCTGAAGCCATCATGGACTGCCTCTTTATGTGATTTGTATTGACTGTTGTCTCTGAGTCATCAATCAGTTATTATTTATTTATTTTATGTTTGCTTACTGTATCCCAGCTTCTTGTTTTGTTTTAATATGCCCAAATTGGCTGCTCATATGAGCTAGTTTGATTATTGGCACTTTTGAAGCTCTAATGTCCTGTCACCAGGTTGTTAGATCTGTTACTAGGTATGTGAGCTCAGGAGTCTGCCCACTCCTTCTGTATGGATTTAGCTCAGGTGCCCAGCTCAATAGCCACCAAGTGTGTGGTGTAGGGTCTCACTTACATTCCTGGACAGGCATTGGTGATTGGTGTAGGCACAGGCATCTGGCTGCAGCAGGGGTACACACTCTGAGCAGGGCAGGGGGCTGACGGCCACCTCCGAGTGTCCAGGAGGAAGGCGTGTCCCTGTTCCCTAGAGCGTGTAGGTGGGTGGGTTTTGCAGCCAGACTATGAGCCCCTAATGCTGTTGGCTTTAAGGACTGGGGGGCACCTCTTATTCATGGGCCCCTATCGCAGGTGGCTAGGTGGCGTGGGTGGAGCCAACAGTCCTCAGGCCCTGATGTGGGTAGGTGAAGACCCTGCTTAATGGGAAGAGCAGTGTCAAATGTCAAGCACCTGCCACTTCACAGCTCAAATAGTTGAAGTTAGAGTTCCAGTATATACCCTGTTGTACTGCGGTAATGAGGGCCTATGCTGTTGAAATGAGCCCACACAAGTCTGTGCAGGGGGAAAGGCACTCAAAGTCCTCGGATCCCTTATGCCTGTGCCTAGGCAAAGGAGCTGTGCCTACCCTGGGTTCCTGGCTTAGGGGAGCTGGCAGTTTATTTTTTCCCTGTTTGTTAGTTCACTCTCCAAGGTGGGGAGAATGGCTCCAGGCGTGTGATGGATCCTACTTCCGGCCCAGGGGAGTTGGCAATTGCTGAAGCCAATCCGGAACCCAGTGCAGAGCAGGGAGGTAAATGGGAGAGAGGTTTTTCCCAAAGGGAGTTGTTTTTGATCCACGCGGTAGGACATACACAATTACTTATCTTTCACCGGATTGTGGGCTGCCTGTCACTGGTTCAGGGTGGCCGTGTAGACTCTCAGTGGCTGGGTCTCTCCCGGTGTAGAAAACGGGCCTCCCAAGGACCGCCGCTTGCCTGCTTCACTGCTAACCCCCTAGCTGCTTAGGCCTGAAGGGCTCAGGCTCTCGCTGGGTTAGGCCTGGCAACTCCTCGTTGCTTCCGAACCGTCTCTCCCTCCCCCTGCCACTCCTTCCGGCTCCTCAACTCTGCCTTTGATGTTCAGAGCTCCCAGATTGCCATATATAATCAAATCACTTGTTTTTTCAGGTCTTTGTTGTAAGAGCGTCCGCCGGAAGCATCTGACTATTCCGCCATCTTGGCCCCACCCCCCATAGGAGCTTTGAAAATGCTTTCTGTAGAGGTTATTTTTTAGGGGTTTTTTGTATATCCAGAGTTGCTAATTTTTGTTCAATGTCAGTGTCCTTTGGAAAGTACTAATGTATGATGCAGGACATAAATTTTACATTGGCTTTTATAATTTGTTTGCATTTTTCTGTTTAATTTCTTAAAATCCTTAAGCTAGACTCTGTGGTGGCTTTTATTTGACATTATTTAGCAGCTTGTTGCCGTTGTTAGCTGCTGTCACATTATTCCAGACTTCTGGTGACCCTGTGCAGAAAGGGGTGACGGGCTGCATGTTCCCACACCAGCCCTGTGGACATTTGGCAGTCAGACTGTTGTGATCCATAGGGTTTTCATTGGCTGATTTTTGGAAGTAGATCATCAGACCTTTCTTCCTAGTCCATCTTAGTCTGAAAGCTTCGCTGAAACCTCTTCACCGTCAGAGCAACATGCAAGCCCCCACTGACAGACGAGTGGTGGCTGAGCATGAGGTGCATTGGCCACAAATTGAACCTAGGTCTCCTGCATGGAAAGCAAGAATTTTACCACTGAACCACCAATGACCTCATGTCACAGCTAGAGTAAGATAATTTATTAAGTGCCAGAATTCAAATATGGTAGGTGTAGTATGAACCCAAACAACAAGGTTGGATGTACCATCACATGGAAGAGTGTGTGGTGGTCCAAACAGCTGTACCCCAAGGACGGGCTTTGGTATGCCTCAAGAGGTAAAGGGACTAGGAGAATTCAAATCAGAACAATACTGAAGACACAGGACCAGTTGATTTTCTATGAAACGCTTTCAGGGGCCAACATAGCAGTGAACAGGTACAACCCCAGGTTTCCCCAGTCTACCTGATAAATGACGCACATTTGTGATATTTCTCTATACACATGTGCCTGTGGCTCTCATAACAATAATTACAGTGGTTTTACCTTCCCAAAGTCAATGACATTAAAATTAAATCTTTATTCTTCTTTCTTTTTTCAGAACAAGCTTGCCCTCCCCTATGTTTTCCAGAAATGACTTCAGTATCTGGAGCATCCTCAGAAAATGTATTGGAATGGTAAATTAACTATCAACTTTGGAATATAACGTTAAGGAGATATGTGTTTAATTGTACACCCTTTGGAAGGGGATCGTAATGTTTGCATAAAAGTGAGGCACAACAGTGTTGATGGAAACCTGTGAGAATCAGAAATCGGGAAAAGTCTGATATTAGGTTTTCCTGACAGAATTTGAACCACTCTTTATGCCATTTAATATGGCTTTAATGTGACTCTTCACTATAAGGAAATAGGAAAAGAAAAGGCTCTTTTTCAGTTGTCACACCACATTTGTATATGCCCGTAGATATACCCAGAAATTCTCTAAAAAGGAAAACTGACTCCCCACACTGTAGAATATAATTTCACTCACACTGTGCACAGAGCAAGTTTCTGTACTTTGAGTTTGTGAGTGTGGTATATTAAATGTCTCTGCTTAGTTATCTGTGCAGGCAGATCTGATTTACTGTCATATAAATCCTTGGATTCCCTTTAGGATACTAGTCAGCACTTCCGGCTTGATGTCATTTAGGCTAGATTCTGAGTCAGGTTTCTTAAGTCTTCCTAGTATGACCTTTGACCAGCAAGAGTAATGCAATTTAAAGACACGTGAGTCTTGAGCTGGCAAAGAATCTGCCTAGATGTTACCTTTTTTAATTTTGTAATTCACTGAGCAGCCTGGCAGTGCTCTCAGACCTCTCTGCTGCCCTGGGGGTATAGTCAACTTCTAAACATTCTTGTCCTGGTGCTTGAAATCCTCTCAACTGATGATGTGTTCACTCTGACGTTTTTCTAAATCCCCTGTTCTCTGGATGGGGCAATGTAATCTGAGACTTCCTAAATGTAATTTCTAAGGAGCTCATCCCAGAAACATTCATTTTAATCAAATATTTTCTGAATCCTGTATGGAGAGTAATCCCCAAGTTTTGTGGCCAGATAATGTGGGATTTATCCCAGCTCTGCCAGTTTCTAGCTGTGAGACTTTGGGCAAATTGCTTTACCTCTCTGAGTACTGTTTCTTCTCTGTAAAATTGGAATAATAATCTGTACCTTATAGGTATATTTAGAGAGAAATGAGATATTTTATGTAAAATGTCTAGCATAGTCCCTGGTTTAGCATACTGCTCAATAAGTATTAGTTCTTATTGTCAGCAGTTAATCACAACTGTGAATCATAATTCCTGGGCTCTAATCCTGTTTCAATTATAATAGGATTCATGAGGACAAACCAAATGTATAGAGACATATGTTTATATTCTTAAATATAATTATACTGTATCCGTGTCTTTGGAATTGAAAATTTAAAGGCAAAAAAAGTAATATTTGTTTATATTCTACATTAGTGTTTTTCAAACCTTTAGTAAGTATACTGATCATTGTGATCTAGTATGCAAATATGTATATAGGTGTGCATATAAAATTAAAACCAGTTTCACTAAAGAATCATCATAGTTACTACAAATTATACTTTCTACTATTTTAAAACAATGCTGACTCCAACTTACTAAATTGATTTCAGTCTGCTGATGAATCAAACCCACAATTTAGAAAACACTGTTTTGAAATTACTTTAGAATTAATACCACTTCTGTCTAAGGCTATTTGGTCAAAGGACCTTGTATAAATATTTCAAGCATGGATTATTACTCGTTTTCGCTGTTCTGTATTTCTCTTGCCTGAATGCATCTCCTACCATCTCCTATTTCACTGGGTGTAACTTTTAGTGGTGGTGTAGTGAATTAGTTCAGGCTTGGTGACCAAAAATCTGTCTAGTTTGTGCCTAAAGCACATATTCTGTCTAAATTAAGACAACCTGCTTTTCAAAGATGGGAAATAATGTTATGTTGAATTGCACCTGCCATACTTTGAAAGATACTCGACTTCTCTAGAACAGTAGTCTTACTTTTATTTTTGGATGCTGAACTATTTGAGCAAATAAATGTTTATGCTGAATCATAAACAAAATAAAGCAAATAAAAACAGAGCTGTCTGGGTTGAAAGGGGGCCATGGAATATGTTTTGAAATTTGTACCTATAGAACCCGTTGAAAACCAAAACCTGTTGCCATCGAGTTGTTTGCAACTCATAGCGACACTATAGAACAGAGAAGAACTGCCCCACCGGGATTCCAAGGAACAGCTGGTGGCTTCGAACTGCTGACATTTTGGTTAGCAGCTGAGCCCTTAACCACTGCACCACCAGGACTCCCGTATCCGTAGAACTTGCTGATTAAAAACACAAGAGAGCGCGCTTCTGGGGAAATAATATTTTGGAAAGTATTATCTGCTGTGGTTCTTTAAGAGACCAAGTTTTAGAAGAACACTTACTAATGTGGATTGAAAGGAAATCATTTAGCTTTGGACACCATCTGTTGTAGGATTCTCCCTCTCGGGTAGCAGAAACGCTCACTCAAAAGGTAAAACAATAGACACTAAAAAGGTGCCTCTTAAGGGAGAAGTGCAAATATTATCGTGGGTACATTTTTGGAAAGTATTTTTTGTTATCAACCCTCTCCAATATCTGTCTCCTCCCACCCCCCAATGAAAATAGGTCAAAACTTAGAAAATAATAGTATCCATAGATTTTGTTACACTAACTTTCAAAGTGAAGGCATTTTTTTAAACGCCCCTGCATTGCACTTTCACCTTTCAGTTACATTTAACAACCCAAAAGTTTGCTTTAAGTACGCTTTGAGTGGGTAATTCTCAGTCACAGAAGCCATGTACATACCCTTCAGCTGTCTCTACTTCATATCCTGAGTTCCTGATTTGGCAATAAAAAGTCTTAAGCAGAGGAAATGTGATACCGAAACATAGCTTTTCAGACCCTTCCCCAGAGACATCACTGTCTACTTGAGGAGCACGTCAGGTCAGAGTGGAGGGTGTGTGCATCCTGCAGGTGACAAGCTCACAGTGCTACACTGCACAAGGGTCTGGTCCCAACTCTCTCAAATAATTACTGCCCTTGATTTATGATATGACATAGGTTTAGGGTGTAGTGTCGTCATTCAAAAGGCGTGGCCATAAAACTCATGATAGACGCTTATCTGCCTGGGATGGCCAAGGTATACTTTCGTCTTAATCAGGAAGGAAAGTCAGGGCGTCTTCCTTGGGCACTTGTCGCCCCAGAAGCCACAGCACCTTCTCCAGCCAGGCTCACCCCACCCCCACCTCCTTCGCTTCACGTGCACGCATATTTTGCTTTGCTTTGTTCTAAAAATAATGGAGAGACTTAGATTCCCAAAACTCGTGACATCCTTCTTTTCTTCTCCCAGTCTGTTTTGGCAGGATTACGTTTACCAAAACTTCGAATTATGCTACATGAAATGAATACTTATTTACATAACTGGAATTCAATCTTAAATCTCTCTGTGATTGAAGCTTTTACCAAACACCTAAATTCCCAGCTCCAAAGAAGCTAATACTGATATTGGTTAATAATTTGACACCTTTGTCCCTTATTTCCTTACTCCTGTAGTCCTTTTGTTGAAGAACTCTTTAACCTCATAATCCATTGTCCTGTTTTCTTCCTCCTCTTCTCTCCCATCCCTTTGCACTGAAGGCTTTCTCAGCAGGACTCATCTGTAAGTTAGGTCACAAGTGTTCAGACTCAGTGTGGTTGGAAGCCAGGCCAGGACTAGGGTGAAGCCTGGAGGCACCCAGGTGCAGAATTTGAGGCGACATTCACGCTCAGGGTCACGCAGCAGTTTGTTAAAATATCTTGGAGTAGTAGAATCTAGTGTTGGGTTATGGGTAAGAGATGACAAAAGTCCTGGTACATTATAAATACTGACTTTTTAAAGTGAAGATGTTATATCACTCTTTTAAAGATATTCAGTGGAATCTAAATACCATAGAGATTTCATTGCCACCATCATTAGGTTAAATCAATGCATGAACAAGTTTCTTTAATTGCTGAGAAGTTTATATAGTCCCATTTCTCCGTTAACTCCTACCTCCATTCCATGCTTACCATAGAATATTATCCTAACTTAATTTTTTATCTGTGAAGATCTTTTATTGATTATCCTGTCATACTTTGCTATCATAAAAAATACATGTAAAAATGAAAATTTAAAAATTTATTTCCTGTGACCATAAGATTTTAGTACAAAAAGATTTCTTTTGCATCGAGTTATTCTTACAGATATTAGCATATGATTGATCAAAATATCAAACATTATAAAAGTTAAGAAATCATTTACATAAAAAGTAAAATGTTATTAGTGAAATAAATTTTTTAATTGGCCTTAGCTATGTAAGAATTAATATCACTTATTGCTAGAATGAGACAAGATTTTCAGTATCAAATCTGTTCTTACTTTTTAATAGATGTAAGGACTGAGAAACCTTGTCTATATTAATAGATGAAAGTAGGAGTTTTGTGTTTTTTTGTAATATCTAGTAGTGCCATTCAGTTCTTTGACTCCTTGCCAGTTATATGCCAAAAATTAGATAAGTATTATCAAAAATAATTTTTATGATCTGTAAGGTGGCAGCTCAGTTTGGACTTCTTCAATATTATTGAAAACAAAGATTTGGAAACTCCCTAACTTTGTTGCCTTCATTGGAGTCATAAGTGTCCCCACCTCTGAGAAATATAGCAGAGAGGATCATCATCGCTATTCACATAACTGTTTCCTTTCTCTTAGATATATCTTGCAATATTGAGGAGAGGTTGAGAAAACTGAAATATTTTTCACTGAAAATAGAATATTGCAAAATTATTGTTTTATGAAATGCTTTTGTCTCATCATGAGCTTTAAATATATTTTCCTCAGAACTGCTTACCTGTTCAGCTTACCTTGCTTACTGAGTCATCCGCCCCTGTCAGGGATTATAAATGTGAAAAGAGGCTTTGTTTCTGTAGGAAGGTGCTGTGGGGTTGGGAGAGGTACAGATGCCAGCCATGCCTAGAAGCAGAATCTTTGATGTGGTGAAAAAATGTGAAATTGTTCGCTACAGATTAGTAAGTAAGCACAAGTAAGCCCGTGCTTACCTTGCTTATTGGATAATCTGCC